AATATCAGACCTAAATCTGCCAAGAGATACAAAGTGACAGTGATTAGTGAGGTCAAACTTGAGCCATTTTAGACCAGTGTCAGAAACTCCAAACACACTTTCAAGATGAGAAAGAATTACTGTATATCATGGTTAACAGTATCCAACACAGCACTGAGATCAATAGAAAAATTAGGATAGAAAGAGAACCAGAATCACATGTTATTAGAAAATCATCAGTGACTTTGACCAGGGCAGTTTCTGTGCTGTGAAGTTGTCAGAAACCAGATTGGAGGAGTTTGAAAGGGTTGTTTGCAATGAGGTGGTTATTTAACTAAATTGTAACAGTGCATTATTGAATTTTTTCAAGAAAGGGTAAGTTGGAGATGGGGCAAAAATTTTTAGATTGTCCAGAGCCATGTTAGTCTTTTTTGGCACGGGGGTAATGGCAGCAGTTTTGAGGACTGTTGGTACAACACCTGTGCTCAGGAATCCATTTATTATATTGAGGACAATGGGGAAGAGAGAAGTGAAACAGTGAAACAGGACATAAATAAAGTGGTGGGGATGGGATCAAATATACAGGTGGTTGGTTTCATATGTGAAACCAGTTTACTGATGGTTGCAGAGTTAAGAAGTGAGAAGTTAGAAAGAAGGGAACCTGTAAAGTTAGGTAAGTGGGGAGGAGATGTGGAAGTGTCATGTGCTGTGGAGAGAATGTGATGCCGGGTGCTGGCGATCTTGGAGCTAAAGAAATCTAACAATGTTTTGAAAAGTTGCGATGAGGCAGGTAATGTGGTGGGGCAGTTTGCTTTAGTAGTCTGTTGATAGTGGAGAAAAAATGTCTGGGGTTGTTATGGTTATTTTCAATGATTTGAGAGAAGCAGGTGGATCTAGCAAACTCTATCATATCCTTATATTCAGACAAGTAATCTTTCCAAGCCTGATAATGTATGTTTAGACCAGAAAGATGCCATCTATGTTCAAGTTTCCGGGAGACTGCCTTCATTTATCACAGATGGCCAATGTACCAGGGGGGAGAGCGAGAAAAAGAGATGGTTTGAGTTTTAAGAGGAATAAATAAAGTTTTTGTCAAGGGTAGATAAAAAAGCAATATTAAGGATGAGTGGTGGCTCTGTGGCGAAGGATCTGTGCCTGTGGCTGGAAGGATGCGGGTTTGTGTCCTGCAGCCGGCAGAGGAATCCTACTCCATTGGGCCCCTGAGCAAGGCCCTTAACCCCAACTGCTCCAGGAGTGGCATATAAATGGCTGACTTTGTGCTCTGACCCTAAGCTTCTCTCTCTGTCTGTGTGTCTTATGGAGAGCAAGTTGGGGTATGTGAAAAGACAAATTCTTAATACAAGAAATTGTATATGGCCAATGAAGTGATTTTATCTTATTTTGTCCTATAGAGGATCAGAGAAACAAGATAAGGATGATATGTGGACCTAGGCTGATCAATTGATCATCGGTTGCAAAAATTGCAAGAAAAAAATTGATCACAGAGCATGAGGGGGAAATGTTAGAGACAGGTAATTCCAGATTGAAGAGAATAGCTAAGTAGTCAGTGAGGCCTACTGTAGATCAAGGGAAGAGCAGTGGTAAACAAAAGAGTCATTCGCAATGATTAAATCACGGGTCTGTCCTTTGTTATGTGTTGAGCTAAGAACAAGAAGAACGTAAAAAGTAAAATATAAAAGTAAACTGAGATGAGATGTAAAATAAGATGATCAGGACAATTGCAAAGCACAATAATGGATGAAAAAGGAAAACAAAGCTAAATTTAAAGTTAATCTCCTTTAGTCCCATGAGAGGTCAATTTTTGAAGAATCGCCTAGAGAAACTGAAGAAGAAACATAAAGCTAAAGAAACGTTCATTATTTTATCTTACTAATGTATGTCAATGAATGGTTTCTCCCTGAAGATAAGAGTTAATTGCATTAATTATTTCAGCATGAGGAATAATCAGTGTTAGATTCCAACAGTTTCAACTGGAATCTTGATTAGCAGAGCAGTGCACTGATAGAAGTCTATGAGTTATACTGTATATACCAGAAATTAAAATGAATGAATGAATGCATGCATGAATAAATGAAGGAGTGCCTAAGTGCCTATATAACATCATGGTTCCAATTTGCATTTCCTTGCACTTCTATGATTATCATTTGTACCAAAGCTAATGACTCTTAGGACAACCAATTTGCGTAAGGTATATACATGAATATTCTATCAAAGCAGGAGAAGTCATTTGCACCTATTTTCATGCTGCAATTAACTTCCATTGTGCAATTGGTAACAGGAAAGCCAGCACTAAAGCAATGTAAATCAATGTGCACTTGCAAGGGATTTTATTTTTTAACTGCAATTGTTGTATAACCAGAGGGAATTAAATTCATCTTTCAAACTACGTTATAGTTGCTACTGTCACTTCCCAAGAGTGCTGTCCTGACAGACATCAGAACTAATTCAAAGCCATCGTGCTGCAGAAGGGCTGTACTATAGCAGGGAATGTTGTGGAGCAAATTAATATTCCATCCATTGAGTGCAAGTGCAAGACTGGATGTGCATGAAAATTGTTGAAAGGATTTTATCTCCTCAAATGGAAGAGTATTAGAATTGGAAAAGCAATGAAACTTCAGAACTCTGAACATGAGCTCTGAATAGTATTGTTTGCAGTACAATGTTTTGTTTCGAAAGAGGCCCTTTTTGGTTTACCCTTATTTATTTTTTTATCCTGAGTTAGTGTACACTATCGACCTTTTCCCTTTTCATTATATCATCTGAAGCAGTATAATTAGAACTAAAACTACCTTGAATGTTTCATTTTGTCAGATTTCTCTGGTGGTCACTCCATTAGAAAATAAGAATTAACCATTTCAAGAAACAATAATTATTTTATATTGACAAGAAGTGTCAGACATATCCTCATCTCATCTATTACTGTACATATAAAATAACAATACATCTTGTTTCTACAAGTGGGTACCCAGCAATTGTACCTATCTTGTGTTATCTTCCATTTTCTTTACTTTGTGCTATTTTTTTTATTGAGACCTCTGTGTAAACATTGTGCAAAAGATAATACAAAAATACTTTGTCACAATTACTACACTCAGAGTGGCAGTAGAGCATCATAATAAAAGTACCTAATATTAGTAAGCTATATTTCACAGAAATTGTAGCATTGCTTTGCATTTACTGATCTCTGCATGTTTCTGTTGTTTTCCTACTATTGCAAATGTATTGTATGCTTAAATGTTTATTTAAGCTATTTACTGTAGGAATATAAAGTAATAGTATAACAATTTTGTGGATTTAACCTTTGGGTATTACAAAGAATGTATCAGAATCCAGTAGGGTGTAAAATGTAATTACCCATAGATGAGTACTGTAACACTTTCATCAGCTGCACCACTAGGTATTTTATTCAATTAGCTTTAGGGGGATACACAGTGTCCAGCCAAAATGAAATAACATTGGTAATGCAATACAGAAGCAAGAGAAAGTTTATGAACAATTATACGGTATTAACAATGTTTCTATACTTTTTTGGAAGAACATTTTTTTGAAGATTAATTTAAATTCTTTAAAGTCCTCTTCATGTTTAAAAAATCTGTATTTGTGTATTGCTGGCCCACCCACTCTTTCACAGAGTGTTTTATAACCTCTTGACTTTAACTTCCAAACTGGTTTTGGTATCTCTTTTAATTAATTTTGATTTATACAGTACAGTAAACATTCAGCAATTATTATTCACAATGAGGCAGTGCCGTTTTGTCACAGGTCTGTCCATCATGTTTATACAGTACATGACCATAAGCATGTTATTTGCTTTATTAACGTATGTGCCATGCTTTCTAGGAGGTTTTGCTTTCATATCTTTGATGTCCCTCATGTACAAGTGTTTTTTTACATTTTCATTGCTCATTTAAGGAAACTAATGGCCCACATCCAAAAAAGTGCTAAAAACAGATATTTATCTATGACCTAGCAGTGTGGGATAATGTTAGCTACATTACAGCTATGTAATTAAAAATCACTGTCAGCTTCATTTGTTGCTGTCCAGCCTCTTACATAGTAAAATAGTAATGCTGTTGGAGAACTGTGTTCAGCACATGCATGACTGAGAAAACAGATGGTGTTTTTTAACTTACCGGAATGGTTCAACAAATAGCACCTGCTTACCAGTTTTGCAGAACAAACTTGGTTTTATTCCAAGCACAAACAATTGTGTTGATTTTTTTATTGCACCACTTTAAAATGGAGACAAATAATTAACATTAGTAATCAAGTGTCTACAATCCAAATACAATTTACAAATAGAATTAACCTAGCAGCTATAAACATTTGTGAGACGGTATGCAAAGTTAGCCAAGCTGAAAATATATTTGCTTATAATATTAATAAAAGAAAATATTTATTTGGAATTTGTAATACTTTTAAATAATGCTTCACTTCAGATACTTTTAAACATCTCAAAAAGATTCTCTAGTGACTTTTAATTAATAGAATGCACTACAAGAAGTATAAAAAATATGGATAGTTAAAACAGAATCCATGAAATACTTGAAATTGTTGTTTTTTTTTTTCCCAGACCTAAACCGTATCAGCTTGTTACTAAGCTACTAAATGGGCAATAGATTAGACATCTATTACTACATTTATTTTAGGTTGTTGGTTTGAATTAGGATTGTGGTTATATTATTCATTTGATCTTAGAAGTTGGTTATTATCACATTTATGTCACTCTATTAATCCTTTTTTAGTCAGATGAGCTACCATTACCATTGTATTATAAGACAGACTTTATATTGGACATTATATAGTCTATCTTACAATACAATTGGACAAAATAATTTGCAACACATAGAGAGGGCAACTAGATATAACAGCATTTGAACTGGTTTTGCTCAAAACAAGTTAACCACTGAAAATTTGACTTTGTGCTTTTAATGATGTTTCTGAATATTGTATGTTGTAAGAAAAAAATCTGAAAATATGGCTCTTCTATATCTTGCCAGGACCAAACTGTTTTGCGGACAACGCTGTGATACCAGCTGGCCGAGAGGTGAAAATTGATGACTGCACAATTTGTTACTGCACATATGAGGAAGGCACGTGGAGGATTGAGCGCCAGGCTACCTGCAGCAAAAACGAATGCAAGCCAAGCTAGAAGGCAGGTGATCTTGAAAATCTGAAAACTGCGGGAATACTGGCACAAGACATGCCCAGCTATTTTAAATGCTCTCTAGGCGTTTCATTGTTTGCTGAATCATAGCAATTTGCTCCTGGTAAATAGACAGTTACACCTCTAAGGTGATAAATAATGTGGTTCTTTAAATTATAATTGCCTAAAAACTTTCTATGAATTTTGTAAACCTTGTTAAGGGATTTTATTTCTCTTCTGGACTGTTAGACAATACGGTATAGAGCCAAAACATTTTTTTTATTTATACTAACTGTAACTAAACACACTGTGAGGTTGGAGCAGGACCATAAGACACCCCGTGGAATGTAAAGATAAGTACACACATTTAAGAAAATACACCAACCTTATATGAACACTAACATACTGCTGTGATCAACTATTTGATGCTGATACAATCTTTTTAATAAATAAGTGCCAGTCATTGATAGTCATTGTCACCCTAAAAAACAACTTGCTTGTCAAGAAGATTTTTTGGGGGGAGTTGAAATGTAATTTTTATGTGTGCTTTTCTTTTTGGTCTAAACAGACGCATATTAATTAACCATCACTTATCATACTACATATAAACCCACTTTTTTAAAGAGTTGAATGTTGTCGGGTTAAAAATATTTAATAGGATAATATTCTATAGTTGCTTTGGAATGATAATTTATTTTCAGATTTAAAATAACAGATCTGATATCACATTAGAAACCTTGAGCAAGAAATAGTGCTAAAGTATGTTAGTAATAATTGTAGGATGGTGGCAGAGTTTAAAACGTAATTAATAAAACTCAAGGCATGATGTGTAATGTACTATGAAGGAAAAGTATTCCATATTATCCATGATCTATGATCTTTTTGGCATCTGCTATAGTTAACATTGTTTGGACATTGTACTTTCCCCTCAACACTACAGTTTTACATTTGTGACAGGGAGAATCAAGGCAGTAAAAGGTTTTGAACCACATACTGGTGTGACTGGAGTCAGTGTGATATACTGTACAAAAGCAACATGTTCTAATTAAACAGTTTTTAAACAGTTATTTTTATCCTTGCTAAAAATTTCAGGATTGGAATAACTTGAGTATTTGACTTTAACCCATTAGGCTGAGGGACTGATAATCTGACCATAAGGATGAGGATATTGTAACTGCTCCACTAGGATGAATGAGCTAAGATGCTATTGAAAGGTTGAAACGAGGGAATCAAAATGATGAAAGCAGTTTTCAATGCCAATGCTTATACAAGATGCAGGCATTCAAAATGCACGGTACAACCCCATACCATGCGAAATTACCCACCGTTCACCTCATTGTACCGCAGTACATGATTTGGCTGGCCAAAATGACCGTCAGGGCCACTCGTGGTGCATTGGTTGTTAGTGAAACGATTTAATCACTTAATCTCTTTACTGCATTAATGTCACGCAGGGGCTGACTGCGGAGGATAGGGATCCAATGCGGTGCCCTAGGTAGGGTTGCCGCTAGACGTAGGTGTAGTCGGAGTAAACAGGCAGGGGTCTGAGTCCGGGAAGGCATAGAAGAGTATTAGGCGCACAATCGGTAGGCTAAGGCGGAATCCAGGAAACAGGCTGGGGTCGGAGTCCGGGAAGGCGTAGAAGAGGCGTAGGCACAGAATCGGTAGGCGAAGGTGTAGACGAGGAAGCAGGGTGGGGTCGGAGTCCGGGAAGGCATAGAAGAGGCGTTGGAGTGGATTTGGAAGGCGGAGGCTTAATCGAAGAGACAAGCAGGGGTCAGGATCCAAGAGAGCATTCTAGAGGCGAAGGTACAAAATCGAGTGGCAAAGAGGTAGTCAGAAAAAGCAGTGTCGAGGTCTTGGGGAGAATCAGTAGTAAGGCGAAGGCATAGATAGAAGGTAAGCTCAGGGAGAGAATCTCAATCGTGAGCACTGACCGGGGGACTGATGAGGGTTTAAGTAGAGGACTGATTGATGTGTGCACGTTTGGTACAGCTCGTGGGAATGTGGGAGCGCTTTGTGAGAGTACCCCCCCCTTCAGGGGCAGCTCCGGACGCCATAGATAGAGCACCAAAGTCCAGGGGGCGACAGGATGACCCGCAAAACTAGAGTCATGAGCCCACTGGAGAACCTCAGAACGGACTCGATCAGTCACAAACAGCTTATCCAAAGGGCATGAGGGAGGTACAGGCTGGTCGTTGAGGGCGTTTCGGACGATGTGCTTGATGTGGGGACGGATCGCCACAATTATCTGATGAGGGGGTATGATGGGTTCGGGGGGGAGTTCGAGCTCCGGTGGATCAAACAGACGGGAGAGGGCATCCGCCTTGATATTCTTAGAGCCGGGGGTGTATGTGATGAAAAAGGCAAAATGGGCAAAAAATAGGGACCATCTGGCCTGGCGAGAATTGAGGCGCCGAGCAGACTGGAGATAGGAGAGGTTCTTATGGTCTGTGAGAATGGTGAACGGATGTTGAGCTCCCTCCAGCCAGTGCCTCCATTCTTCCAGGGCTAGCTTGATGGCCAAGAACTCCCTGTCTCCCACAGCGTAGTTAACCTTGGCAGGGGAGAGACGCCTGGAGAAGAAAGCACAGAGATGGAGAGATGAGTTGTCCCCAGATCGCTGCGACAGGACTGCTCCAATGCCGTGCGCCGATGCGTTGGCCTCCAGAACGAAGGGCAGTGAGGGATCAGGGTGACGAAGGAGGGGAGCTGAAGTGAAGAGGTGCTTCAGGCTTAGAAAGGCACGATCAGCCTCAACGGTCCACTTGCCCAGAGTCGGACCCTTACAAGTGAAGGCAGAGATGGGAGCGGCAATGGAGCTGAAATCATGAATGAAGCGACGATAAAAGAAAGTGTTGAACCTGCCTCAAATTCCGGGGGGTTGGCCAGTCCCTAATGGCCGCCGTCTTGGAGGGGTCCATCTCGATGCCCAGGGGAGAGATGACATAACTTAGAAATTGGACAGTGGAAACATGAAAAGAATACTTTTCCAGTTTGGCATAGAGGCTGTTCTTAATAAGGCGGGTGAGGACCTCCCTGACGTGAATAACATGTTCCTGAAGGCTACTGGAAAAAATTAATATATCATCCAGATAGATGAGCGCATACTTGTGAATGATGTCCCTGAAGATGTCGTTCATAAAATTCTGAAAGACGGCCGGAGCGTTGGCAAGACCAAAAGGCATGACACGATATTCATAATGGCCGTGAGTGGTGATAAAAGCCGTCTTCCATTCGTCCCCCTCTCGAATGCAGATAAGGTTGTAACCACCCCGCAGGCCGAGTTTGGAAAAAATCTTTGTGCCACGAAGAGACTCCAGAGCAGCAGGAATGAGAGGCAGAGGATATAGGTTCCTAACAGTAATATCGTTCAGACGCGGTAATACACACACAGGCGCAAAGAACCATCCTTCTTGGTAATAAAAAAAAACTGGCGCAAGCAGGAGATGAGGACGGGCGGATGAAACCAGACTGCAGGGCATCCTGAATGTAGGTATCTAGTGCCTTGGTTTCTCTTGCACGGAGAGGGGGTAAACATGCCCTCTAGGTGGTAAGGCTCCGGGGACCAGATCAATAGCGCAATCGTAAGGACAATGAAGAGGAAGTGAAAGAGCTCTTCGTTTGCTAAATGCAACGTGAAGATCGGCATACTTGGGGGGAATAAGTGGGGAGGTGACGTGAGAGATCTGAAGAACATGAGGTTTCGTGGGGAGCTGACAGCAGTGGGTTAGGCAGTGATCACTCCAGGCAGTGAGTTCCTCACAGAATCGGTAGGCGAAGGCGTAGACGAGGACGCAGGCTGGGGTCGGAGTCCGGGAAGGCGTAGAAGAGGCATCGGAGTGGATTCGGAAGGTGGAGGGGTAATCGAGGAAACAGGCAGGGGTCAGGATCCAAGAGAGCGTTCTAGAGGCAAAGGTACAAAATCGAGTGTCAAAGAGGTAGTCGGAAAAAGCAGTGTCGACATCCAGGGGAGAATCAGTAGTAAGGCGAAGGCGTATATAGAAGGTAAGCTCAGGGAGAGAATCTCAATCATGAGCACTGACCGGGGGACTGATGAGGGTTTAAGTAAAGGACTGATTGACGCGTGCACATTTGGTATGGGGAGAGCTCGTGGGAATGCCGGAGCGCTTGCCTGCATGAGGGAGATTTGTGACAATTAACGCATGTTTTAATCTGCTTAATATTGAATATATAATTTTAGTAGCTGAGCATAAAAAGAAGAGGAGCATAACACGTCTGAAGGCCATAAATTATATTAATTTAGGAACATAAACATATTATGTAAACTCTATATGGCTGGTATTGGTAGTTTAAATAGAATTTGATTCATAGGGAATATAATATGGAATCCCGTATCTAAAGTAATTAATAACGATATAATTATATTTATATAGCTCAAATTATCACAGTAGTACACTTTGGAAATGTCTACATCAGTTTAACTCATTTCAATGTGATTCTGTGTGTGGTGTAATGGCTTAGGTGTGTGCCTTGAATGCTGGAGATTGGGGGTTCAAACCCAGCTGTCACCATGAGTTTACATTTAACAAATAAACATTTTATTGAAAAACTAAAATATTAAATATCGACACTATATTGAATTTTTTGTATTTCTAAATATCACAAAACGTTCAAAGTTAAGTGAGTTAAGTGATTAACCTTTTCCATGAATACTTCCGCTCGTTATCGCAGTAAAAGAAACGCATACTTTTTAGAATTTAATTATTAGGGAATATAATATGGAATCGTGTTATCCAAAGAAATTAATAACAATATTAATTTAAGGATCTAAATATATGTATTTATATAGCTGGTAGTACTACTGTAATCAACTTTCTTTGTAAACATGTTTTATTTTTAATTTGATTCATTCTCGCATGATGAATTGTGAGAGTGATAGATGGAGACAAGATGGAAGTTCTTGTCAAAACTACATTCCCCAGAATGCAGTGGGAAATAATGTGCCACCCTCAGTCACCTGACCAGCTGATGCACTGCAACAGAGAGAATG